TAAACAAATTAATCTGCAACGTGTTGACTTTCACATCTGCAGCACTCTCCTTCTTCCATTCACATGTTCCCTCTTTAAAGGTCATCAGTGCCTCTCAACCACATTCAGTAATTAAAACTTCCCCATTAAACAACACGTTTCATATTTCATAAAAGCGTTCTCAAAGCTCACAGCCCACATCAATCTGCATCCACACCTCACTTTATCCCATTTCGGTTTTCCTCCCTCTTACGACTCAAAAGAGATTTGGCTTTATCGTAAAGGCGGCTAATATTCTTCACAGCAAGTGCCGCCGATAATGCCGTCTGACCCTTTGCTCAAACGTGGCATGAAGATCTTTCGCACCATTAACTCGTGGGCCTCGGCGTACCAGTTCGTTTAAGAATTAGCACCCAGGAGAGCGGCTCTCCGCTTCTCAAAGTAATTGCCTTGTAAATAAGAGTAGGTTTGAAACAATGCTGTTTGTTAGGAATAATTAACGACCACATGTGCACATGGAGCCGCGTCTGGAGGCCTCTCGTGAGCTCCTGTCGGGTGAACCCATTCACTCCACACAAAGGAAACTGACAAGAGGTGCTATATCAAGCTCAAGAAAACACTCACTCGCATCCCCCTTCAGTCCTCCATCCAAAATAGATGCATACCTCTACCTTTAGAGGACATGGAGATTTTGGATGCATATTTGCACGCAATTCTTTTTCAGATTTATACAAACCTAGACACCTACCTAAATCCCAGTGATTCCACAGTCCAGCGCAAACTTCATTTAAAATTAATGACCACAATTCAATATTGATTCTGTACCATCTGAGGACCTGGTGTTTTCTCGTAGAAACTCATGTGGACTAATTGCACTGAGCCTCGTGACGTAGTTTCTTTTTCAAATATCGCAGCTTGTTAGATTTAGTCATTGACTAAAATGTTTCACTACATGTTTATGCCAGAATTCTTAATTTATATTGTAAAGACTGGAATATACTACACAGCTTTTAAAATCTGAACAAGATCATACACTTGCTGGCAGGGGCGCCGCTAGCAATTTTGGGCCCTATGAAAGAATATGAGGTTGGGCCCCCTACCGCACCAAACATACACTATATTGCCCAAAGTATTGGGAAAACTCAATAAAACTCAAAGAAACTCATCGCCAAACACCAATGACTTGTACATATGCGTATAATCATTTTAGACACTTCCAAAACTGTGGCAACAAAGATGAAAATACAATTTTTACATAAATGAATTATGTTTCCATCTTTGATGCCACAGTTTTGGAAGTGCCTTTTTCTGTTCTAAAGAAGGGGGTGTCCCAATACATTTGTCCATATGTATGTACAAGTCATTGGTGTTTGGTGATGAGTTTTTGGCTCATGGTCTGCATTTAAAGTCACACCAGAGGTGTTGTTGTGTTAGAATAGAAAACGATCCTGTTCAAACTATTGGTATAAAATTAGAAGCACACAATTCCCTAGAATAGAATTATATGCTTTTTTTTTTTTTTTTTACTAAAAATGAGAAATTACTAAAGTAGTCAGACCTGTTCATTAGAAGGGGATGTCCCAATACTTTTGGCAATATAGTGTGCAAGCCAGCCTAGCTATTTAAAATAATTAAATAATAATTTGCGTGCAGTGTATCTGGTTGCCATGACAACCTCACGCGCTTCCTGCTGCTGCTCTATGTAATCAGAGTATGAATTTGTAGATTTTCTATAGCAAAACTAAAATGTGTTTAAAAGTGCGACTGACCAAATCGTCCGGCTCTGTTTGCCCCTCCTCGAACTCAAAGACATCTCTAATTTGACAGTTTACCATCTGATCTCACTCAGTGACTCTAGGCTACATAGGATGGGACGAAACCATGCATGCAGTAAATGAGGGGAGATAATTTTGCTGGAAATGCAGAAATAAGCCGTAATATTGTTTAATTTGTAACTCTTTGGTAGATACATTTATAATTTCTATTACATTACTACTACTACTGTTACTACTAATAAAACAGATCTCTGGGGGCCCCAAAAGTGAGTGGGCCCTTAGAATCATCCTAACTCCAAAAACGTGTTTATCAGTAAAATGAATTTATAAATGGACACTCAAAAGGTACACTGAAAAAAAAAGATGTGGAAACCATTTCGCACAGAAATTACTAATAAAAATATATATTTTTACAGTGACCAGTATGTGAAAAAACACTGTTAATTAGAAGATGAACACTGGACTTCTGGAGGTTAAGGGGGAAATACATTTATTTATTTTTCAGAATCCACACATTATTTAACATTTCAGCCGGTTCAAGGTAATTCATGTTAAAGCAGAGAACATGATTCATCGTTTTAATCAACTGACAGCCCTTAATAGTCATAATCTGCATACTCATGACTAACTTACTTGGTGCACTGAACAGTCGTAATAAGTAGAACGTGGAAGAAGTTGTGCAAGTAGTCCATTTCTTATTTGCTAACCACTCATGCTGTATCGCTGTTATTGTTTCTCTAATATGTGCTGTTTTGCCTTTTCAGTGTTTTGCAGAAAAAGCTGCAGGTTAGTTTTAAATGACTAGTCCCGCGCCATAAGGCATTATGAATGAAACATCTGTCCCAGGTACAAATACATTGGGCGAGTGACGGGAGCAGAATGCTAATGAGAAATCAGACCCAGTGCTGTGTCTGGGCTTTCCAGAGGCCTCTAATCACATTCAGACCTGTGGGAGGTGACAGATCTGTCCACTGCGCTTTGACAGGACTGGGGCAGATTGCAGAAGCTTTTCTCATATTAAAGTTTCAGGATTTTGGGGAGAAAAACAGCAGGAGGAACCACTGCTGTCTGGAATCGCTGTGATTTGTCGGTATGTCGCTGATGTTTCTACCACTGGCCTAGTTAATGTCCAACATGCCCTGTGTCCAAACAAACACACGGCACGGATCATGCTTTTTCTATAGCAAAACTAAAATGTGTTTAAAAGTGCGACTGACCAAATCGTCCGGCTCTGTTTGCCCCTCCTCGAGCTCGAAGACATCTCTAATTTGACAGTTTACCATCTGATCTCACTCAGTGACTCTAGGCTACATAGGATGGGACGAAACCATGCATGCAGTAAATGAGGGGAGATAATTTTGCTGGAAATGCAGAAATAAGCCGTAATATTGTTTAATTTGTAACTCTTTGGTAGATACATTTATAATTTCTATTACATTACTACTACTACTGTTACTACTAATAAAACAGATCTCTGGGGGCCCCAAAAGTGAGTGGGCCCTTAGAATCATCCTAACTCCAAAATGGGACGAAACCATGCATGCAGTAAATGAGGGGAGATAATTTTGCTGGAAATGCAGAAATAAGCCGTAATATTGTTTAATTTGTAACTCTTTGGTAGATACATTTATAATTTCTATTACATTACTACTACTACTGTTACTACTAATAAAACAGATCTCTGGGGGCCCCAAAAGTGAGTGGGCCCTTAGAATCATCCTAACTCCAAAAACGTGTTTATCAGTAAAATGAATTTATAAATGGACACTCAAAAGGTACACTGAAAAAAAAAGATGTGGAAACCATTTCGCACAGAAATTACTAATAAAAATATATATTTTTACAGTGACCAGTATGTGAAAAAACACTGTTAATTAGAAGATGAACACTGGACTTCTGGAGGTTAAGGGGGAAATACATTTATTTATTTTTCAGAATCCACACATTATTTAACATTTCAGCCGGTTCAAGGTAATTCATGTTAAAGCAGAGAACATGATTCATCGTTTTAATCAACTGACAGCCCTTAATAGTCATAATCTGCATACTCATGACTAACTTACTTGGTGCACTGAACAGTCGTAATAAGTAGAACGTGGAAGAAGTTGTGCAAGTAGTCCATTTCTTATTTGCTAACCACTCATGCTGTATCGCTGTTATTGTTTCTCTAATATGTGCTGTTTTGCCTTTTCAGTGTTTTGCAGAAAAAGCTGCAGGTTAGTTTTAAATGACTAGTCCCGCGCCATAAGGCATTATGAATGAAACATCTGTCCCAGGTACAAATACATTGGGCGAGTGACGGGAGCAGAATGCTAATGAGAAATCAGACCCAGTGCTGTGTCTGGGCTTTCCAGAGGCCTCTAATCACATTCAGACCTGTGGGAGGTGACAGATCTGTCCACTGCGCTTTGACAGGACTGGGGCAGATTGCAGAAGCTTTTCTCATATTAAAGTTTCAGGATTTTGGGGAGAAAAACAGCAGGAGGAACCACTGCTGTCTGGAATCGCTGTGATTTGTCGGTATGTCGCTGATGTTTCTACCACTGGCCTAGTTAATGTCCAACATGCCCTGTGTCCAAACAAACACACGGCACGGATCATGCTTTCACAGACAGTACCTTCAGCTCTGAGAGTGTCAGCACCTGTCTGTCTGCTGTCACTTCCTGTCTATCTGCTGTCAGTCCTGTCTGTCTGTTTGGGTTTGGGTGTGTATAATTGGGAAGGAGTGAACAGAAGCAAACTCTAGCAAAGTGGGATAGCCTTGATCCAACCTATACATTTCCTGCATATTTCAAACTTTCTTTTGTTTTAATTGAAACTGTCAGTTTTTTAACGAGAATTCCAGCACCGCATTAAACTCAACTAAATAAAATGTAATTGTTGTCTGAAATGGCTCAACAAAAAGTCTGGGGTAAATATCGCTTTTGCTTAATGTGAATTTGGCCGCTGCTTGTTTAATTTGTGTAATTAATCTATTTGTTCATTTCGCCGTAAAACTCTCTTTAATCATGCTCATTTTAAAAGTTGTTTAAATTCTAATTCAGCAATTAGAAGGCAAGTTACACCGCCAATTAATCTTCATGCAAAGTAGCTCCCATTACAGAGAAAAAGAATAATCAAGCCGTTCCCACTTTTTAGAGTATTTTTAGTTTGTTCTTTAATCCGCAATTAATCTTTCTGTCGAGTGTTTATTAATGACTGTTTTGCGGGAAAGATGAAATTGACCGGCCCTCTCTGCTCCTCCAGATTTCCCACTGGTGAACCTCTCTGTGGAACCACAGCCTGTTCTGGAAGGCAACCTGGTTAAGTTCCACTGTGCCGCTAAAGCGAATCCCCCTGTCACTCATTACAGGTGAGAGCTCACACTCACACACACGTAGACCAGAAACTGGTTTTCTTTCTCAGTATCTCATTCTTTCACTCTCCTGATGCCTTCATGGAAAAACCACATGAATTTCACATGTAAACACATGTTCATCACATATGCATGCAAAGCAGCATGATAAATTAATGTGTTTTTGCTTAAACACGGGATTGAATGGAAATAGCAACTGAGGCACAATGTGACACATTGAGAGCTTGTGCTCTAAAACAACCCAAAACTCATATGCAAATTTAGTCATTTAATTTGTTTTTTCTTTTTGTGGCATCACAATGTGGCGAAAGCTTAGCTTATGAATAATAATTAAATTGTAATCCAGAAATGAATGCATATGTTTTGATACATATTTGCACTACTGTTCAAAGGTTTGGGGTCAGTAAGTTTTTTTTATTTTTCATTTATTTGTATCTTTTTTTATTCAAAGTGACAGTAAAAACATGCATAATGTTACAAAATATTTCTCTTTTAAATAAATGATGTTCATTTGAATGTTCTATTCATCAAATAATCATGTAAAAATCTATTATGGTTTCCATGAAAATATAGAGTAGCACATCTGTTTTTAACAATGGTAACAGTAAGAAATGTTTCTTGAGCAGCAAATCAGCATATCAGAATGATTTCTGAAGGATCATGTGACACTGAAGACTGGAGTAATGATGCTGAAAATTCAGCTTTGTTACAGGAATATATACATTTTAAAATATAATTAGTAAGTAGTTATTTTAAATGTAGTAATAATTTTACCATTTTACTTGATAACAGACTTAACAGATAACAGAAAAAAAAGACTGGCCCCAAAGTAAAAACTAAATTTACTTTGTTAATAAAGTTATGTAACTATAAAAGGAATCATTCAAATGTTCAATTGTTTTTGATCATTTCATCCTGAAAACCGCTGCTGTATCAGACGTAACCTGCTGGTCAGGAACATGTTTGTTTACATTTTGTTTTGTGATTTCACTGGAAAGTCTTCATTATATAGAGAGAGACAGTGTCACACATAACATTTTTTTAATCAGCGTAGAGCGAGAGATTATCTCACCTGCCGCCCCATCAGAGTTCCATACATTATTCATGCCAGAGAGGTCTAAAGAAGCACAGACCAGCACACACCACACAAGACTCTTGTGCCTGTGCCTGTGCCCTCAGCCAGCTGGACAGAGAATCTCCAAAGCTTAGAGGACACTGTGTGTCTCCTGTCACTTGACCCACTGCAGCAGGCTTCAGATGCGTGCTGTGCCACAGACCGAACCCTCGGCCAAGTGTAATGTCATGAAATCATCCATCAAGCGCGAGGAAGCTCTCCACATGGAGACTGGCTTCTTGGAGAAACACAGCATTTGAATTCACACTGCAGGAACACAGAAGCCCAACTAATTACGAAGAAAGTCATTACTGATTGCGGGAGATTTCCTGTGGGCATTACACCGTTCCTCTGAGAGGATTAGAGCTGCCTCACTAGAAAGAGGAAGGATTATTTTCACTAGCCAATATTTTATTCATGTTCATTTTGTTTACATACATATGGAAATTAATTTAACTTTGTTTTGTTTTGTTTTTTTGTAAGACAAAATGTAACATTTCTTATTGGAGGCGTCCGGTCCAGCCGCTCGCAGAAATAAAACCCATCACTGTTCTCCTGTGGCATTTAAAATGAGATTAGTGAAGCTGTAAATTAATTAGCAGAAATAATTTATGTTCAGCGGCCATGATGGCCATTTAAGACCCTGAGTATTTTTCATTCATAGCTTTTCATAATTTCGCAGAGCAGTTTTTATGTCTAATGAAATTTGAACTCACAGCTCCACTAGTGATCGACTCCTATGGATTTTTCAATGACTGATGCCGATACAGTGGGCTACAAGAGTAGCATTTTCACTTATTTTTTCATTCCAAATTTGAGTGAACAGAATGGACATGAATTTCTCCTACTTGAATGACTTAGCATTGCATTCTCCTTTTGCTTTAATGACAACAGCACTTTTGAACTTCAGAATATTGGTCTAGAACCTGATGATCATGTTCTCAAGCATGATTTGTGACCATCTTGTATTTCAATAAAAAACTCAGTTTTTAAAATAAAAGAATAAATAAATTATGTAAAAAAGGAGATCTTGATCAGTGTCATGCATTTCCTGATTTGATTGGTAACCTACAAATAGTGCAGAATAATATTTGAAATATGTAAGCCACAACTTTTTTCCACATTTAAATTCAGTGTTTTGAATCACACATTTTCAGTGTAGATTCAGACTTTTGAATCCCACTTTATACAAGAAATTAAATATAGCAAATTATATGGATATAAATATCTTGGCATTAAATAGACACTTATTTTACATAGTATTAACGTCTAGGTTACTTGTGTAACCCTCGTTCCCTGAAGGAGGGAACGGAGACGTTACGTCAGTGACTGACGAATTGGGATCTCGCCCGAGAGCCCAATCACCTTCGAGTGTCGTGACAGCGGCTGCGGATGCCATATGCCCCAGGAGCCTCTGAAATTGTTTCAGTGGAACCGCTGTCTTGCACTGAAGGACCCCAGGCAGTTCAGCATCGACTGCGCACGCTCTACAGAGACGTGCTGAGAGGTTGACCGAGTCCCGCTCCATGCTGAGAAAAGAGATCCTCTGCACCGGGGAGAGTTTGCTCTTTTCCCAGTTGACCCGAAGCCCCAATCGGCTGAGGTGACTGAGCACCATATCCCTGCGTTCACACAACTGTGCTCGGGGCTGGGCCAGTATGAGCCAGTTCCTCATGCACTTCCGGGAAGAATGGAACCGGAGGCGGCTGCCGACGTCTGGCCTGTGCCCCCCGGAACCAATCATCCAGCCTCGAGCGTTCGGAGAAGGCGGATGCCTCCAGTGCAGCCCGACACTCTCAGCAACCCGGGAAAGCATAGCGGTCAGCTCTGGATCTGATTCGGGCAACGCAGATCCCAATTTGTCAGTCACTGACGTAACGTAGAACGTGACTGACTGAATGGGAACACAAAATTCTAAAATAAATAAATAAAGTGTTGTTATGCCAGTAGGTGGCAATAATTGATCATCGAGTCATTCAGTCATTCATCAATACGATTCATTCAAACACTGATTCATTCAGGAATGAAACATCTTTATAAGTTAGTGGTTGAATCATTTACTCAAATGATTCTTCCAAACACTGATTCATCCAGGAACGAAACAAGTGAATGAGTCGTTGAATCATTCACTCAAATTTGTTCAAAACAGTGTGTTGATCACAGCGGTTAGTTCTGTTGTGGCTTTGAATGGAATTAGTTTCATTTACGGAGCAAAAATAGAAAAGTAATGAACAATTTGTAAATAATGTAAATTGAATTAGCTTTTTGTTTATAGAACCTTTGTAATAAATTGTGTAGCTTGTCTGAATATTGAAATAGCAATCTTGTTCATATGATATTGCTTAAGCATCACTACATATATAAAATTGCTGAGAGTACAGTAACTGCCATTTATGATGCCAGTAAGCTGGACTCAGTAGAGAAAGCACTGCATTGTCCTGGTGAGGCAGTATATATGTATGTGAAGCAGTGCGTGTGAAATTCACAGTGACTGTGAAATCGCATAAAGATTTATGCTTTTTTTTTTCAAAGGATGTTGCCTTTTGTTTATCTTAAACTTAGACCTCTCTCCACCAAAATAACACCTTGAAATGTGAAGCTGTCATAAAGAGTTAAATAAAAGCCACTGTGCTCAAAAATGTAGCCACAACCTTGCTATAGAAAATAGCAAGACAGAGTGTGTCTTTTAAATCTGGCTCCGATTGTTTTTGTTTTTTCTTGAACTCTCAGAGTGGAAAAGTGGGGCGTGAATGGATGGAATCAGACACGTCGCTTTTCTGCCTGTGAATAAAGTATGTGCTTTGTGTCCCTCCAGGGGCTTTCTGTCAGCGCTAGTGTTGGCGGCTTTGTTCTGGCGTAGGTGATTTGTCTTGTCTTATCCTCATTTGTCACCTCCGAAGTGTCTAATGGAAGGCACTCTGTTGGGCTTGGCATCGGTGGGCATCGGCGTCCACGTGGCTGATTGCTTGTTTTGGTGGAGACGGTTTGTACCACCCAGTGTTTTAATTCGAAATGCGGCCGATCACAGACAGCCCTCCTGCAGCACCTTAAAAAACAAACAATTTCTTTTCCACTGGTGTTGTATCGGCTTACACCTTCAGAGGATTCTTTTTTATTCTAGGGTTTGTGTATATACTATTGCTGTTGAATTATGTAAAGAAAGCAGCAAACACATGGATTTGATCTGTGTATTGTGAAGCTTTGAGAGCACAGTTTGTCTTTCAGGCTGAGGTTTGGACATCTTTTTCTGATGTTTTATTTGTGGTTACTTTACTGTTTTATTCTCATGTCCCTTTCCGAGATAAAGTTGTCACAGCTCTGCGTAGAACACAATGTTTTTATCTTTGAATATGTCAAGATTCAGTCCTCGTCTGAGCCAAAGAAAGTGTCTCCCTGGCGGGAGGACGCTGTAATTTCTCAAACTGCTCTCCGTCTTGATTAAATTAAAGTAAGACAGTTAATCACTTAAATGTCAAAGATCCATGGAAATTGTTCACAGCACTTTTCCTATTTTAGCACCAAATACAGGATTAAAATAATTTCATAAACAACTTACGCTGACTATTGGCACCATTGCAATTGATGAAATTGAATTTTCTTAACAGGATGTGATATGCCCTTTTCCGGCATTCGTTTGAATCTGTGATGAGACCTGCTGTGATCCAGAGTAATCTCTTAATTTTAGACGCTTTTGATGGTTAATCAATTTACACATTTACAACTCTCATACATTTGAATGAAAAGGATATCTGTCCATCTCTGCGAATAGAAAATTTCTCTTGGCCTCTTTTTTTTCTTGCCATATTTTAAGATAGCCATCAGCTCTGTCCTGTGTGTGGATCTCTCTTATGTGTTTGAGTTCACATGGAGGCTGCCATCCCCAAAGGAACCCAGAGGAAACTCTGTGGAGAAGAAAGTTTGTGTTGGAGCTGTGGCCTAGGGGTCAGCAAACATAAATGTTGAGCCTTGGCGTGCGTGTAGGCAGTGTGAGTTTGAGTCTTGGTTCTGTTGAAGTGAGCATGTAGAGCTGCTGGTGAGAGCAGATGTGTGAATGAGTGAGGTGGCATTCACAAAGGACTTGGTCTTCTGTTCCAAACCAACTAGACAAAGCACAGCAGCGAAATGGAACTGAATGCATCTTGAGATGCATTTCTAGAACTAGGTTTAGTTTGACAAGTCATTTTAAAATTTAAATGCTCTTTGCATGAGACTCAAAAAGCAAAAGTTAAAATATGATGCAGGAACATGGCCTTTGCTGTTGTCATGACAACCAATGCATGTATTCTTTTCTATTGGTTTTGGGTTTATACACACACACACACACACACACACACACACACACACACACACACATATATATATATATATATATATATAAAAGGGTTGGTTGCGCGCGCGTGTGTGTGTTGACTACCATTTAAAAGTACAATTTTGAATCAGTACTTATATTTAGCAAGGATGCATTCAGTTGATCAAAAGTGATAGTAAAACATTTACCATGTTACAAAATATTTCTATTTCAAATAAATGCTGTTCTTTTGAACTTTATATTCATCAAAAATTATCATGGAAAAATTATAATAATTTTCTTGAGCAATTTTTTACTGTTTTCTTGTGAACTTTTTTTAACATTTTAAATTACTGTTTTTATCGTATGTTTGGTTAACACAAGAGCCTTCTTTCAAAACAATTTAAAAAAATGGTATCAACCCCAAGCATTTAAACAGTAATGTGTGTGTAATGATACAGTACATGAATAATAAACAAGAAAACACACACACACCCACACACACACATATATACACTGAACAAAATTATAAACGCAACACTTTTGTTTTTGCCCCCATTTGTCATGAGCTGAACTCAAAGATCTAAGACTTTTTCTATGAACACAAAAGGCCTATTTCTCTCAAATATTGTTAACAAATGTGTCTAAATCTGTGTTAGTGAGCACTTCTCCTTTGCCGAGATAATCCATCCACCTCACAGGTGTGGCATATCAAGATGCTGATTAGACAGCATGATTATTGCACAGGTGTGCCTTAGGTTGGCCACAATAAAAGGCCACTCTAAAATATGCCGTATTATCACACAGTTCTTGCATGGCCAGCATACTTATCGGACATGTCACCCATTGAGCATGTTTGGGATGCTCTGGATCGGCGTATACGACAGCGTGTTCCAGTTCCTGCCAATATCCAGCAACTT